ATATACAAAATTTGGGAAAAATCAGTCATTATTCCTGAGAAATTTAATTTCAAAAAAGTCAGATAATAATAATTCGATTTCTCAAGAACCATTCGACCAATTTTGCCCAAATTTTGTATTTTGCTATATAAAATTACACTCAGTTTAGTTTCAGGCATTAAAAATTTGCAGCCTAAAAAACAAAATATTTGTGTAGAAAAAATATATGTTAGTAATAACTATGGTTATTATTGTGTAGCAATGTGATAAAGTCGAACATATAAAAGTACAAAGAATTTAAAATTTGACAAATGACATAACTAACTTTATGTACTTTTTTAAGCTTTTAAATCTAACAATCTTGTTTATTTCCTTGTAATAAGGTTAAAAATTAGTGAAATATATAATTCTTTCAGAAATGTTACTGATTAAAAGAAAAAAAAGTTTGGTCAGGAGAGCACTCCAAAGTTTGGACCCCTTAATATGTTAATTTTGATTTGCGTAATTCGCTATATGTCGAGAATTTTTTAAGCAAATTGGAAATTTTTGCACATAATTATAAAATTCGTTTATTAAAGAATAATTCAATGCAAAAAATATCTTATAGCAAATATTTATTGTTTTACATAAGAAAGGTCTAAAAATTTTTGACTTGTACGGTATACAACGTATGGCATCATTTTAAAGAATATAAATTTGCATGGCAAAATACAAAATATGAGCAAAATTGATTGAATAGTACCTGAGAAATTGAATTCCATAAATGTTAGATATTTAAAATTTATCAGGAATTATTCAACTGATTTTTCTCACATATTGTAGTTTGCCATTGTAAAATTACATACTTTAAAATTATGTAAAAAAAATTGCATGCCTTACAATTCCAAATTTTTCCGACTATTATTTTAATAAAATAATAAAACTTTACTAAAATTTATTTTTTGTATTTAATTATTTTTGGATAAACGAATTTTACCGCAAAATGTTTTCAATTCGTTAAAAATAATTTTTGTGATTTTACAAAATACGCAAAATAAAATTAACATTAGAGGGTTCAAACTTAGAAGCGCTCTCCTCACGAAATTATTGGGACTATATTTTCCAGATAGGGCTACCCCCTACATATTAGGGGACACAAATCCGTCGAATAAAAGGCATGCTTATTCAGAGAAATTACGTTTTTGTATCTGAATTCGTAACGTAAAAAATCGTCTGCACTTATTAATTAGCATGTTTGAGGGCACCGCCTCGAGCCATTGAGATTGAGTCATAGAATGAGAAGATCCGATTAGTAGGTCATAAGCTATTCAATGTCGTCAATTTTTTGCTCACTGTGCTCTTATGGGCGTAAAAGTCTACGCACAAACGATTATCTTTTATGCTCATATAATTGAGACTAAGTAAATGACGTCATTCAGAATTAATAAAATTTTTATTTATTCCCTGTAACTTTCCTCATTTTGTAAAAGCAACAATAACTTAATTATTATATAAAGAATACACAAGGTCGTCTTTAACTTAAAATTGGCATAAATCTTGCTCGTCAAAAGTCTATGTAGCAGTTTTATTTCTTATTGGGCATCCCCTCCTTTTAATAACCTTTCTCAACTTTGTTGGCATTGATTTAATTAGTTGAGGGTTTTTTTGTGGTTACTTTGTTCTAGTTTTTCACTAGTTCTAGTTATATTTTATTTGATGCCCTGATTCCCGATTTGAGTAAATTCCAGAAAGGCAGTTAAGCTGGGAGACAGATATGTGTTCGGAGTTAGTTTGGTACATTGCAAAGTTGCCATGGCCACATATACGACTTTGGCTTATGATCATTTCATTATCCTACTGAAAGTTTTGAAAAAAAATAGGTCATCTCAAGATTTTAGGTTTTGCCCTGAGATATTTTTGTTTATGTTCAAGTAATCATTTTTGTTCGTTTATGAATTAATAAACTACAAATAACCCTATGCACCCCAAGATGTTTCATCCACTTTTTTGATGTTTGACAGTCTGAAAGAGTTAATCTGAATTTAACTCATCTCTCGAGGGAACAAAGTTAAGAATATTTGATTTTTAGAAGAACAAAAATAATATATTTTGCATGAAAGTAAATTTTGTCTCTTTTCAACATAAAACTACTGATATATGTCTGGGAAAACCCTGAAAAGAGCTAAAAAGAGTATACTATCAAGAATGAAAGATATGTAGCAATGATCAGGATCCCCTGACCTATCGTCGGAAAATACTTTAAAAAATGGTAGCAAAAAGTAGGGAAATTTGTTTCTAAACATTTAGATACTTCGCCTACAACTGATTAAGTGATAGATCTTTTTTGCATTTTCAGTTTTTGGTTTGCCCTGATGATTTACAAGTTATTTTTTAATTTATGTTAAACTTGTACCTTATGCTATTAAACCCAAATTTCAATTTGTTCTAATGACTCAAAAGGCAATGCCTGCATCTGCCGCTGTAAGCAATACGGTTATCTTCTCCTTCAAAAAAAAAAGAAGAAAGAAATAGAGTTAAATTTTTAGTTTTTTTTTCCTAGAAATTCAGCATTCTCGACGTAATTTCCAACCATCCTGACTTAAAAAAACATCTTAAGATAAAAAATTAAATTGCATATTTTATTTTTTACAATAGTAATTTTTTGATAAAGTTCTTATATTATACCTATTTCGTGTTTTTTCACGATTCCGTCGGATTTTATTCATTTCTGTATGCATAAATGTCGAATTACAGATTAACCGTTTTACTTATTTCCAGAAACATTTAACTGTTATGTAGTTTTTATCTCATTTTTTAACATACTGAATGTATCCTTTTATTTATGTGGGGATTGCATTTTAAGTACTTAATAACAGAAATGATTCATAATTTCATTAATTCTGATTTTTAAAACCATTTGTTTGGCGCAGCATGTTCCTTTTTTGTAACTAGTGCCATTAATCCCCATATTCATTTCAATTCCTACTCAAATCTTATGACAATAAACTCCACATTTAATTTAATTCAACGCACCATAAGCTAAAATGTTACTTATTGGAATATTAGAAATGAGTACAAAAAAAAAGATTGATAAGTTTTGCTCAAACTTAATTTAAACACAAATTTTACTCATGATAACATTGAAAATTGTTTTTAAAAATTCTAAGATCGAGCCATCCATCGAAATTAATACGAAGAGATCATTATCAGATTACACATTAACCATACCCGCATAATACAAAGACACCTTCCTACTGAATAAATCAGCTCTATTAATTATAATTAAATCTATTTAGACCCTACGTTTGAAACATAACAACAGAAAACTTTATTATTCTAATACAGATTTTTCAACTTCGCACTATTTCTAAGTGATTTTACCCATATTAATCTTTTCTTATTTTCCACCATGTGTACTGATTTATAGTTGGGATGTTTTTTTAGTAGTAGCTGAATTAAATTAACGAAGTTATAGAAATCTAGGAATATGTGAAAAAAACTAGCCTAGCTCTAAATATGGACAATCCTCCCCAATAGGCTATGAAAAATGCTTCAGACTGGCATGGTAAACTTTTTGTGAGAAATAAGTAGACGCACTTCTATGAATAAAATTTTATATATTAAACAGCCTTGAACAATAAAAGTATATATTAAAAATAGAAAAATTATCAAAAAGAGAACATTAGTTTCTTTTTTTTTTACATTAAACATTAGTTTTCCTCGTTGCTAGGGGATACCAGACTGGCAGCGTTGAGTTGTTTGTAGTAGGCAAAGGTCACCATATGGTGCTACATGTTAATTTAAAATAGCAGAGAACAATAGGAAACATTCTTTTAAATGGTGGTGATTCAACGTTGGTGTTAACAACAGTATTTTCTCTGAAATATATAAATTTTCTTCCCTTTTGAGTTTTTTCCTCGCTTTTTTAAACTTCATAGCGACTTATTTTAAGAGGACACATACTTGTTTTGTGCTCTTTTAAAAACCCTGCCCTCATTTAGTAAATTTGATATATGTGTTAATTAAGGTCAAAAATCAAGAAATATTTCTAATTGAAGATAACTTACTGAAAAAAGAGTGCTCATAAGTTACTCTTCTCTTTTTTTTCTCCTACCTGGTAAACATGACAGTTCTATCTTGCTCTAAGATATGCATACGTATTTCATTTTGGAGATAAAAGAGATTAACAGTTGTGCATCATTGGAATGAATTCGAATTCAAAAATATTAAACGCTGTGAAGATAACTGAAAAAATTATTAACTAAATACAATAATTGCGAAATTTTAGGAGTAAGTACAGTTCCATTTGTAAGATCGAGAATATTCTGATATCCCATTTTAAAGCAAATGAGACTTTACAATTAACATTGTATATTTAATATAATAGCATACCTACTTAAATATACATAACTACTATGTACTTCTACATAAAAACAAACCGTAAAATGGTTGACATTTGACCTTGTGCATGGCTTACGTCAACCTCACTCGTCCTTTAATGGATCATACTCGAATAACACATCGTCTTAAGATTTATCACATTTCATATGACCATGTTTTGACAGGTATCAGCTTACCTTTTTTAATAGTTCTTTTTAATGTGTGCAAGATTTTTTGTATGACATCAACATCCTTATATCTGTTTCACCTAAGGCTCCTATACTAATTCGGGGGCTCTAGTTTCACAATTCCAGTTTCATATGGATGGCATCAGCTTGTCAGATAATAATGGTAGTCAGGGCTCAATATTGATTCGATAGCTTTAATCGTGTTGTTGGTCTCGAAATAAAGAATTATTAACCTCAATAATCCCCATGGCCGACAACTGGCTGCTACAGAAACGCTTGACTTGTTGTATAACTGCTTGACTTGTACTTGTTTCTGTATGTGCCGCTTTGTATATTTTATGCAGATTGATTTGCAATATGAGTTTTACTTTCTGACTTGTTTTAAAACGCGTTGTTGGGCCGCTATTTGAACCTTGTACCATTAAAACTGGTAATAAATAAATAATAATAAATTATTTCTTTGACTGATTTTAGGAGTCTTCATTGTAGCCGCCTAAAAGTTCATATTAATTTGTCGGTGGCATTGCTCATAAATTTGATACTCCTCATTGTCTCCTCGTCTCCTGTTCTCATTGATATCTCTTACAAACATACGGTAAGTAGAGATACAGAATATGTTGTTTTAACGCAGTTTATTAATAATGCAGTGTCATTCATTTTTTAAAATTAAAATAACGTACAGTTGTAGTAGGTTTTATTCAAAATTAGTTAGTTTTTTAAGCAAAGGCCAGAAATCAGCATTATCTGGGGGTGAAATAGCCAGTTTTCTGGTCTAAATTAGTGGTTCCCAAATGGTGTTCCGTGAGACTCTGGGTTCCGTGTAAGGATTATAGAGGTTACGAGAGATATGACCATCCAGGCAGCCGTTGTTTAGCATTCTAGATTTTAGCACTCATCCATTTAAAGAGAACCTTATTGAATTTTCAAAGTATTTTGTAAGAATATTCTCCCAAGTTCCGGAACATCTACTTGGTACAAAATTGGACGTCCAAATTTGACTATTCTCAAATTGGACGAAAACAATGCTAACTTGTGACAAAGTTTGAGAATGTGATAGACATTAAGAATTCATCCTCGCTGAAACATATGTTTAAATAAGTACAATTGGGTTGAACTGACGGATGAATCTAGCAGTAGCTGAAAAGTACATCAGCACAAAGCTCTCGACTTATTGACATGAAAAGGGTTTATCAACTTAACGCATTCACCAAAAACAGATAGACCAGATTCCCCTCCAAATCTGTCCGATACCCAGGAAGAGGGGTCTCTGTCTAACCACGGCAACACACGTAAAACCTAACTTCAAAAAAATTGTTAATAATGAAAAAATTTCATTCTTCACATTCAATATTTTTAAATTAATTAGTATTCTTCCTTTGATTTTGTGTCCACAATTGCTAATTTTTTATTTTATAACCGTCGTTGAACAGCCGATCCAACTTTGGGTTTATGACTACTAATGTCCAACTCCGTGGTCTTTAATTTTGAACCTCCAAAAAGACAAGGGAACTCCTGGATCAAGTATTGGGAGAAATTTTGAGCTTCGTGGAGTAATGGAACCAACCCGAATTCGCGTAACATGGAAAGGAAAACCACGAACACCTCCCACGGTTAGCCCGACGGCAAAGAGACTCTAACCCATGATGCGTCTACAACTGAGGACATTTTACGCCAGCACTGCGATCAGTGAGAGTCGGATGCGGAATTCGTAAAGACTAGCCATCGCTGGGATTTGAACCCGGTTCACCTTATTGCAAAGCGATCGCACTATCCCCTGAGTCGCACGGCTCTTGGGTTTATATTTTGACAGACATGAATGTTCACAATTGCAAATTAATAAATTATTTACTTTAACTTTACGGTTCCGTTGCCAAAAAAAAAGGACCTGCTGATGTAAATAACAGATTTCTTGTTTAAGAAGCTATTATTTTACTTTAACGCTAAATAAGGAGCATAAGTTTTTATAATTTAAAAAGAAAATATTACAGAGAGCATTTCTATTTTAAGATAAGACATTTAAGATTTAATTTGCTGAAAACAATTTTTTTTTAAAGTAAGAATGTTTGTACTCGACTTTGATATCATTTTTCAGTGCGCAAAGCTTAAATATGCATTTTTCTGGCACTCTTAGTTATTCTTTTTTTTATATATAAATCTTTTGTCAGCATTTTCTAATTACTTTATTCTGTTTCAAGAAGCAAAACAATTATTGAAACATACGTTTATTGCAATAACGAGTTGGGCATGGATAGTTTCTGACATCTTACACGGAAAAAGATGTTCGGTGTTTTTTTCTTCAAACTTATGAAAATTTATTTCATTGTTTTAAAATACGAGGAACTAATAATCTCCTTTTTGGTTCTATTTCACACACGCAGCCAACTTTCATAGCAGCACTCACTTCTTCTATTATTATTATTTATTAATTTTGAGAAAAACCTCCGTACAAGGAATGAGAAAAACCTCCGTAATGTTAATATGACGACTAATACTTATTTTAAATGTAGGAAAAGTTTTTTCAAATGGCTGCAATAAATGATACATTAAAAATATTTTAGATTTCAAAAAAGTTCCAGAGCTGGAAAAATATTTGCTATATTCATAAAATAAAATATTGCTTCACGTATTCCCTAGTTTAACCACGTCCTATTCTTCCAAAAGAAAGAAGAAAAGCGTCTTATAGTTTTATATGGAACAAAATCTATGTGTTCAAAATTACTTTACTGTAATTTACTATAGGAATTAGAAGTCTGTATTTTTCATCAGGAGTGGATGTGCAAAGGAGTTTTGAGTTTACAAATGTATTCTGGGCTATCAAGTATTAATTGGATGTTTGTTGAAGGTCTTCTCTTGCATAGCCGGGTGACTGTTCATATTTTTAAGAAAGATGCACCTTTCAAATTATATTATTTCATTGGTTGGGGTAAGTGTCAAGTTATCTCTTTTTGATTTCCTCGTAATTTTAACCTTGTTGCTTTTATTTTGAACTTGCTCCAGTTTTAACTTTAGAGAAATTTATTCTTTCCACCTTAATGTAAAATCATATTAAAAAAACGATGAGTTTTATTATGCACGGCAAAATGGTAACACTCGTCCAAATAGTTGCAGCGCCACGCAACGGCAGCAAGTTTAACTATTTAATTAATGAGTTTATCGTTTCCTTTTATTAATTTTAACTGAATTTATCAGTCGCAGGTTCTGGAGTTCGTAGACTTATCATTTGGTAATTTTTATTTTAGTTCTTTAAAATGTTTAGGAATTAATTATTTTAGAACGTTGAGTGTTAATAAAGAAAAAAGTACATTTTAAGTAAATTACGACTTATTTTAAACGTTTATAATTCTATCAATTCCTACAGATATATAACAATTCTTTTTCGTAAATCAGAGTTAATTACATATTTATATGGATGACATGACGTAATTTTAAGTATTTATACCCTATTTCAACTAATAAAAGAAAAAATACGAAAAAAACATGTATATTCTCTGATAAACATCAGAATTTATTACGTGACAGAAACAGTTTTATGTATTAGTAGTAAGGCGATATATATATTCACTATGTCAACCTTCATCTATCAAAAGACATCTCAAATATTAAAAAGTTAACGTCTTATATACTATTGAATTAGTATTTAATATTTGTAGTGATAGTTACGCCACATTACTCCTTTTCCAGAATTGCATCTTTGATAGAATTCGATAAACGAATACCAATAGTTGATTTATGTTCTGTTTATTTATGTATTGGCCGGGAGAATCGTATATACTTCACCTGATTTTTGAGAGCTATTTAAATTGACTGTTTAATGTGAACCTTTCATCGATGCTGACGGGTACGATTACGTCCGAAGGGCACCAATAAGGGGATTTAAGTAACGAAATATGTCAGCCATCATCTATCAAAAGGAACCTCAGGATTGAAGATAAAAGAGATCTAACTAGATAAAGAATAATGTAAATCTAAGATAAAATTTGAAGATAAAAGAGATCTGACTAGATAAAGAATAATGTAAATCTAAGATAAAATATTTGAAACTAATAAGAAAATTTTATGTTTCAACACAAATGCGCAGTGTATAAGAAAAAAAAACCTTCAAAACACTAACATAAATTGACGCAATCCAATCTTTTTTCAGTAATTCTTATTGGAATGGAGCTGAAAAAGTTAACTTTCATACTATAAATAACAGCGAAATATTATTTGTTCATTCTACAAATGTAATGTACAGAATTAAATGTACAAAATAAACAAAACTATTGCAGAGACACTAAACTGTAAACCTTAAAGAGACAACTAATCAAATCTACTGAATTTACAAATAGTTTTCTTAAAGTGTTGTTAGAGGGTGCAGTGGCCAGTTGGGCTAGAAGAAACTTTTAGAAAAGAGTCGTGATGATGTTAGAATGGATTGTCCTTCAGTATTATCGGTAAAATTTTTAACCTAGTTGTTTTTATGTTAACCAAGTCGTTTAAATATTAATTTAGTTTAAGGATTCAAAGGGATATACAGCATTATTTTAATAAGCTTAAGATTATTTTCATAAACTTTGTCTGATATATTGTATGCATTTGCTAATTAACATATATCTTATAAGATCCCCTTTTTTTAGGTATTCCAGCTATATGTATAGGTATATGGTGTTTTTTAATGTCCCATTACCATCACACATATTGTTGGACAGGATACGGAAGTCATCAATACATTTGGTTCATTACCGGACCCATGATTTGTGCTTTGTTGGTAACTATAAATTTCACTTAATTATTTAAAATATGCTAAATTCTTTGTCCATTCTATTATATCTCCATTAATTGTTACCTCTGGTTTTCAAAATATTTTTAGATTGATACTTTTTTATTATATTTATTGATTAAATTGGATTTAAATATAATTCTATGTTGTATAGTTTTTAACTTTCGAAATTTATTATACAACTCAACTTGTTTGCTTTGTAACTGCTAACCCTGTTCTTATGTCAGTTGTCATGAAGAAGATGTAATCAATCGTCAATCTTTTGTAAGAGAGTTTTATTTTTCATTTTTTTTCTACCTAATAATAATCCCACAATGTTTTTCAAGTATAAACTATTTTCTGTTCAATTCTTTCTTCGCTCTATACACAGCAAAATTAATTAAAATTTTAGTGTGGTAAATTATTGTAATTAATTAATAAAATATATACATATAGTAGAATATATGAATAGAATATATACATATAGGGGTGCACAACCAGCGGGCCAAAAGCGACTTTTCGACTACTGAAGTGCGGCCCGCGAGAAAACACAATAAAAAAAATTTAAAAAATGGCAATTTTTAATCGCACTTTTAAGTCATCACGTTTTGACACAATCAATTTTAACAGATTCTTTAGAAAATGTACGTTTAACGCGCTTTCTTTAAGCCGATTTTATCGTAAATATAAATGATTTTTTTTAAACAGTTAATTCCGCTTTTCTACGTGATTTCGAAAATCTCGAATTTTTATTACGACACGAGTTTTAGATCGCCCATTTAAATAATCATTTTTGGTGCACTTTATTTGTGATGATTTCATCTTTAATCTAAGTAATTTTTTATCTTTTTTTTGCAATTCTTTCTTTTTTTCAAAAATTGTTTTCGGCAGTTATTGCTATGCGTTCCCACGTATCATAAGAAATTCTAATTATTCTATTACGACATGCAAATTTTAAATCGGTGCATTTGACACGCTTTATTCATGCTGAGTTCAACATAAATAGAAGTAATTTTTTCCCTAATTATTTCTATACTTTTCCACGTGATTTTGACGATCCCGTTATTTAACTATGATGTTATTACGACTCGAGATAGTTAATCGCGCAATTAAATAATCACTTTTTGATACGGTATTTCGATGCAGTTTTATCGTAAATCCTAGTTATTTTTCCTTCGTTTTTTTTCCGCAACGAATATGATTTAGTCAAATGTGATAATGAATTGTAATTTGGTCAAAAACCAAATATTCGGCAAAAAAAAAGAAGAAGAAAAATTGACTGTACGCCGTACACTTGGGGCCAAATAGCAAAATCTTTTAGCAGCATAGCAACACTGAAACTAAACTTTCAATGCTCAGAATAATATATTCTGGAAAAACGCATTCATAAATTAACTCTAAAAAATAAGGCCAATCAAGAACGTTTTTTAAAATGTCGAAAAGCGAAACAGAGAACATAAAAATCAATCTTAATTTTTGAAAAAAATTTTTAAAGCTGAACATCTCAGTTTTTCAATTACCAGAAAAAGCCAAGAAAAANCTACAGCCCTGATCTTGCTCCCAGCAATTTTCATGTTTTCTTGCACCTCAAGAAATTCCTGTCCTCCGGTGAGCTTTTCGGCAACGACGAAGAGCTGAAGACGTCTGTCACACGCTGGTTCCATTTACAGGCGGCAGAGTTCTACGACAGAGGGATACAAAAGTTGATCCCACGATACGACAAGTGTCTCAATTCTGGTGGTGGCTATGTTGAAAAATAGCTGAAATATTGCTGTACTTGTTGCCAATAAATATGTTCCTGAAAGTATGAATTCTTTTTTTAAAAAAAAATTGAGAAACTTACTTTTTGGATGCGCCTCGTAATTCTAAAATGAATTTTCGTATTGCATGATATGATAAAAAAAAACTTTTCTTCAATGTTTATTTATTTTGATAAATCTATTGTTCATATGATAAAAACAGCAATTTTTTTTTGTAAAAAAAATGTTATAAGTTTTTTTACTTTTGAATGAATTCTAAAAATGGAACACCTTTAATTTTTTACAAATATATTACTAAGTTTATTGATAAAAAAATAGAACGCTAATGTTTAAATAAACATTACTACATTTGTCATTAACATGTCTCAATACATGTGCGGCCCTTCGTTAGCCAACCTGCTGTGCAAGTGGCCCTTCACTCAAAAAGGTTGTGCACCCCTATATACATATAAATGCATATAGAATATATACTTATAAAAATGTATTAAACTAAATCGAATATAACATAGTTGATGCTATAATATCATAAGGGATACCTACAAAATTTTCATTTGGTCGATAATTCTTATAACGAAAATAAAAACCAACCATACATAATCGTAATGAAAATGTCTACATGTCAAAACGAGAGCTTTAAATTAAATGAATTACTAAAATTTTTAAAGCATTATCGTGCCAAAAGCAAACTAATACTATGGTTTGTCAATTCTTCTACACTAAGGAAACATTTCACATCGGTTATTCAATTTACCTATCGATTTAAAGGAATTTAATAACGTTTTGAGCTGGCATGACAAATTGCTTTTGCACTAAGTGGACATGGTCACGTGGGATGAAGCAAGTAGGATAATCAGGAAAGCTCTTTCAAATGATTGACAAAACCCTATCGTGATCATTAAAAAACTAGCCATTTTGGTGGAATATTCAATCAAAATCACTTACGTTTGTATTCTTAGGTAGAAAAATCTGCAAACAGATTTTATTATTAATACACATCAACGCTTTATTAGAAAAATTAAGGTAAAATTCCGTTTGCATTCTTTTTTATAACCGCTGAAAACAGGTAACAAAAATTAACAGTTTAAATTTATTTTTACTAACTAGACATAAATTTTTATAGTACGTGAGTGAGCTTTGGTAACTTTTTCGTGTATTATTTAAAAATATCAAAGAAAGTAGTGAATATACTGCTTAAATAGGTCAATTCTAGTCAAGAAAGATAACTAATTTTAGAATATATATATAGCACAATAAAAACAAAACCAACTAAAAACGGAAACAAAAAGAAAACGAAAGTAAGTTAATAGTAGATAATATCAAGCGCTAAAGCTGCTTTAAATATCATCACTATAACATAGCACAATAAAAAAAGAGAAAAACGAAGAAAATTGATAAGTTTTATTAACTGCGCATAAGCTGCAAGTATATAGAACTCATAAAATAAGCTAAAATATTGAAAAAATATGGAAAATAATGACAAGAAAAGAAAATTATTAAAAATAACTTTTTAAAAGTATTTAAAAAAATATATAATTTTTGGTAACTAATAAAAAAAAAAAAAAAGTCCGTAAATTCATTTTATTCGCTCCTCACTATGTAGATTTCCTTTCGTATTCATTTTATTTTTTATTTTTTGCTTGATATATTCTAAATATGTTCTAATTTCGTTTCAATTTTTTGAGTGCTCCTCACACTATTGTATTGATATATTTTGCTTTGGCTATATTAATACAATATTACAAAGCACTCCTTTTTGTGGATTTAATCGTGTGGGCTGATGAAAAGATTATATCTTTTCTTTGTTTTTTTTTTAAGTTATCAAAAATTATATTTTTTTAAATACTTTTGATTTATTAATAAATTATTTTTAATAAATTTCTTCTCTTTTCATTATTTTCCATACTTTCTCAATATTTTAGCTTATTTTATGAGTTCTATATACTTGCAGCTTATGCGCAGTTAATAAAACTTATTAATTTTTTTCGTTNATATATATCATATATTAAAATACTTGCAGGATTATCTTCTGTGTAGTAGCAAGAAATTTTTACTCAATTCAAATATAATAAAAGCCAAAGTTTTCAATTACTTCATGAATTTTCATATTAAAATATTTTAAAAAAAATGTGAACAATAGCACTAGCCAGTAAAAAGAACCATGAATTATTTAAATTGATTTGCATCGATAGCATAAAAATAGATTTACAATTATAGAATTTAACCATATCATCAAAAAGTGTATATTTTCGTAAAGTAACGAATATATCACATAAAATATAAAAATAAATTACTAATAGAATTTTAAAAACGATTTAAAGAAAAAAAAATTGAGACTTGGAATTTTTAAGATAGTGTTATGAAATGCAAATACCCTGTTTAACACACTTCCGAAGCAATTTTCGGCGATTTTAAATTAAACATAACATTACTAACAATCTTAAATATTCGTAGAGACCAGATTGAACATTTTATGAGCATTTAGTTAAAAGTGCAGACTTTGCTTTTGGGGAAAAGATTATTTTTATTCATGGCTATTTGTTTACTTTTGCTCTAATCCTCCTGGGAGATATTTTAAAGAAAAATTACTTCCTATTGAGTCGCTATCAATTTCGATCCTCCGGCATCAAAACGCTGAGTCTTTCAAGAGAAAGTGTCACTTATGATAATTTTGAAGTTAAAGCTTTGTCATTCAATTTTACCATCGATTGTGAGTAAGTAACTCTCCTTCTCCCTTAAGAATAAACAAGTATTGCTTTTAATGGAGTTTTTGAAAGCTGGTGATAGAGATAGCAAATCGAACTAAGCGAAGGGTTAGAAAATAAAGTGAGGTAGTTTAAATTTGAAAAGAATCCCGTAGAAGGTACGTGTTAAGTATTTTTGTATCCGAAATTTGGAATTCATTTCTTTAGCTATCGAAAATACTTACGAAGAGTTTCATCATTTTAGTCAGTTATCATCTACTTTAGTCAGTTACGTCGATAAATTATTGAATATAATATTTCAAACATCGAAGGAACTTTTAGGAAGGGAATATTTTTTTCTTGCCTATTTATTTTTGAACTAATCCTCAAGAGATAAAAAATTCTTATTAAAAATTACTAAAATAAATTTATAAAAAGAGTTCAATAAATCTTGTTACTTTCTAGATTCCTTTATTAAACCATCTAGAGATCTCTTATCAAATTCTGTTTTTTCGGTATTAAAACGTGAAGTTTTAAAAAGGTGTCAAATAAGAAAATTTCGATATTAAAGCCTTATCATTCAATAGTATTTTTGTGTTTCTGCGTGCTATTGGTGCTGATGAAGCTATATATTACTGTATGATTAGCTGAATTCATTATTGTCACCATTTCTATTGCTCCTTGGTACAATTGTGAACTTGTGGAAGATGCTGATATTTGCCTTCTGGTTCTTTTTACAGAACCAACAAACAGAAATATTTTTCCAGAACTGTCGGAGGGAGAAAAAAAACTCTATATTGCTATTAATCAACCGAATCACTTAATCATGAATTCAATAAAATGTGTGGGGCTGTGATGCCACATCGGACCAGGGTAAAAATAAATTTATCAACCTATTTGTGAAACATCCAGAACAGAAAAATAAAGCATCGTCATTTCTTAATTCCCAATCACTCAAACAGCAAATTGCAGAAATAGTAGAAAACTTTTTTTTGGTTTGTTTTGTTATATGAGGATGACCTGACCACTCAAACCCTTGATGAACTGCATTAGCACAAATTGAAAAAGCTACAGCTACAACTTATTTCAACCTAGCAAGATAGCCATGATGGCAACATAGCCATTTCGCCTAACTACATTCAATGATGAGTTACCAAGTTCAAAAATAAATATGCAATAAGAAAGACGTTTCGCAATAGGGTGGATGCAGACTACATTAGGCCTTTTCTTCAGGAAAACTAAGAAAGATTATCTCCGGAATCATTTCATGTACTTTTGAAAAGGGTAGCAGGAATTCATGTGGATGCAGAGAAGTATTTCTGCACTGTTCTGTATTCCGCAGACGTTACAATGTGCTGCAATGCCAATAATTTTTGACAACGATGATGTGGAGAGTGAAGGAATGAAATCAATGGAATGTTGCTCAATGCAAACTGGGTACCAAAACATTACGTAACATATTCCAGGACCTTCCAAAACACCTGAAAAATTAACATCATTCAGTTGCTTAAGAAAATTAATGCAAATTTTATAATATATATATAGATATGTGTTACTGTGAATGACCGAAATCGGTGGTTGTTTACTTTCACCGGTGAATGTTGACAATCACATAGTCGCTTTGGTGAATGTCCGAAATATTTATTACATTCCATTTTATATGAATTTATTCGTGGATATAATTACATTTATTCGATATTTTAAACCTACACTGATGTTTTTTTAAGGTTAAGTGCCACTGCCCGGTATACCCTACACTGATGTTTTTTTAAGGTCAAGTGCCACTGCCCGGTATATATTTGCCCGATACTCCAAACACTGATGTTTCAAAATATAGAATATCAACGAATAAATTAATATAAAATTGGATATAACAAATATTTCGGACATTCACCGTAGCATATATATATCATACCTGCCAACTCTTCCGGAAGATTTTATTTTCATATTTAAAGTGGTAGTAAATATATACTATTTTTTCTTTTATAAACTTAATTTTTAAATGATTTTGATCACCACTATTCTCACAAAAATTAAGCACATATATTAATGTGCGTTACTATCATGGTTGTCAACTTAATTTTTTTTCAAATGCAACATATTTGCTTGCTTAAAATTGAAGTTTTAATTCCATTTTAATACCACTGGGAAAAATGATAATGGAAGGGATTAAAAGTTGGCAGGTATGATATATATATATATATATATACATATATCTATATAAAATATTCATTACTCTTGATAGGATTTTTTAAAAAAGTAACATTAATAAAAGCTTTAATAAAAATCTTTAAAATATTGTGTCTGATTGTATCCATCTAACTATGTATCACTACAACAATTATCATTGTGTTAAACTATGTCACAAAATTCATTTCTAATCGATATTTAGCAATAAATAATTGGAAAAAAAATTTTTTTTTAATTTTTCGTTATTTAAATTTAAAGAACTCTGTCTCAGAAAGTAGCTAAAAACTCCGAATTAATCTCAAATTGTAGATAATTTAATTAAGTAATAAAGCATCTAAATTTTTTTTGTAACACTAATATTATTATTTAGGAGAAACAAGAAAAAAACAGGGAAAAGTCCTAAAACTTTAGGGATTATTCAAGATGGCGGCACACGTGGTAGAAATTGAAACTACCCTAATTTTTGTAATAATTTGACCGAACTAAAAAGAAATATACCAGAACTAGAGAAAGAAATATACCAGTTGAATATACAACATCAATTATTCAGGAATAAATGCGTGAAAGAGTCTAAGGTAAACCAAAGAAAGGACCGAGGTAATTTATGATTCAAAAACTGCTTACAAACAAAAGTGACATAACTAACTTGAGAAGACCTAATCAAATTGATTCTATTCCCTAGAAATGCTCTAGAAATGCGATTCTAGAGCAGAGGGATAAATAGAAATTATATTTTTACAAAGGTTTGAATATAATTATTTTTATGTATTCACATTTGGTATTGAGATATTTCAGGCATGAATACATATTTACAAAATACCTTTTTTGAATACTTTATTAACTAAATGTTTTGTGTAACAGGGGGGGGGGGGCAATAACAAGGAGTTTTCGTTATTTATCACATACTAAGTGTTTTTTTCTCTTTAAATGCCGAAATAAAAGTAGAATAATCCCGCAATTCAACTTAATATCTTTAAATATTAATTGGATCTATTATTCTAATTTTGCATTATATTTATATTTTTACATAATAATAAAATTACTGAATCATTTCAATATCACCTTCCTTTGTTTTGTTTTCCTTTGTTAAAAACGAATTCGGGATTATATATATTAAATCGAATCCATTAAGTTGAGCCTCTTTATCTAACTTGCAATCAGTTGAAACCTTTTTGATATAATTAGTTCATAAAATGTGATAATGTGTCTTAAGTAGCTTGGGAAATTAATCAGTTACACGTTACTAAGACCTATTAATATTTAAATATATTATTCAGAAAGATAGAGATACCTTTATTCCAAGGTCAAATCACCTCTTGTTCGTTTAGCCCCCAAAATGTAATATTCTCATTTTCGGGCGGTTTTATATAAAGTTAAAGCACAAAATCCAAGAGAAATTTACAACTCTAAACGCATTTAAAACATAAATTTGAAAAATTTTGTGAAACTGATTGAAAATGTAATTGATAAGCATGCATAATTTTCCAACACTAACATCATTTTTGTTTAGGTTAACAGTGTGTTTCTAGTGGATATCATTCGAATTTTAGTTACAAAGCGATTATCTAATCAAACAGCTGAAACAACCCATGTACGGTAAGTTTTTTTATTATTGTTAGTAGATATATTACATTATGATAACACTACTACATGATGGTATACTAATTTTTAAATGTTCGATTAAATGCTCTGAATAGAATTGAATTTTTAAGTGCTCATGTGGCACACACCGGTAAAACTGTTGCTCACTTGTGTTACCGTGGATCGTGAATTCGATCCTGGCAGTTTAAATAAGCAAAAAACAAGTATACGAAGCAATATACACGTCAAATCTATCATGGCTGAAAGTCTTGTCTTTGGTAATAGCGTGGAAGTTTCCAAGGAGGAGTTTCTGATCGCAGTCCACGTGGTCTCATGTAGTAAAAATTACATGATATACCTACCATCATGGCTGTATCACCAACCCTAAAAAACGGGGCTAAGTGCTTGTAGATGTGTATGCACAGATTATATCGATTAACTAAAAGGAGCATAAAACGTTCAAATTAAATTTTGAAAAAAAGAGATTTCAGAGTTTAAAAAAGTTGAAGAAAAATTTGAGAACTCTAATTTACCAATATTAACTAAATCTTGTGCAGTGGTGCAAAAAAAATTTCACATTCTAATCTTAACTTATACTTTTGAATATAATTTTTGAATTTCAAAATAATCTTTGATTTAAAACTATACATTATTACAAACTCAAGCGAGATCTAAAATTTTGGTCTGTTTTTCTTCTTCTTTTTATGGCAAAGTATCAGATTAACTTAAATAAAGACTTCGATATTATGTGAACCGTGAATATTTTGTATCTCAATACAGGATAATATGTAGATGCATCTTTTTACTTGCTTTTTTTTAAATCTATGTTGCCTTCTGTAAAAGGTAAATGGGCTTCAACATCACGAGACTAATGCTGCTTGGAAGACAATTACAGAATTTAGTATTGTTCCTGCAAATATTAACAGTTTTTATGAAATATTTTTTCCTTGTAGTAACAAACTGATAATATATTTACAATTTCGAAATATTTATTTTGTTACTACAAGAAAAGATAATTATTTACTCTTCTTAAAAGCATTAACGTGTGATAATGAAATCTTTTACATATCGCTGGTTCAAAATTAAAACACTTCTGCACTCACTTCTCATTCAAACAACACTAATTATATATTCAGAAGTGTCGTTTTTATTTTGAACCAGCGATATGTGTTGGAATTATTTATCTCTTAATGATCATTTATATCATATTTATTTAAGCATAAAACTTTGCTACCACTAGAAAGGTTTTTGGTAAAAAGCTTACAAGTTAGAAACTGTATCCAACGTCGAGTATTTACATATTTTTATATAATTTAACCACTAGTAAATTGTTGCAAATAAATTTATACTGCGATTATATTTAGTACTTTTAAGCATATTATTATCCATAAAATGCTTTTTGCGAATTACCATCACTGTTAGCCGATCACTTTCTTAACCCTAGATTATTCTGTCGTATCACTTTCATTCTCCATTTGTTTCACACAGAAAATCCAGTATAGTTCATAGTGTTTATAATCAGCTATCCATCGTCATGATTACTCGCGGTGTGTTTACGTTTTTAAGGATTGGTTCAAAATCTCCAAGACGCTTTTGGATGTGGAATCGTTATTGCTGAAAGAACGCAGAGTTACATTTTACTAGCTATTTGTTCTGATATTTACTGCTGTAGCCATTTTCATATCTCTACGACTTATCTCATCACTAACCGCGCAACAGCATTGCATCTACTCTGACAGCCTAAGTGTTTAGCTTCAGCTAGGTCATGTTAAGCACGAAGCCCATCCTATTTTCTATATCTTTAAGCATTTGTTAGTTAACCTTTACAAAAATAGTTTTAACATTCTGTTTTGTTGTATCCCCAGCCATTTTGGTAACGATATGGCTGATTCCGCTGCCCGATCTGCTACATCTCCATTAACACTATCTATACCTTTTCTGATATGAAGAATCATATACGACAGTTTACCATGCATTTGTGGTTGCAACATTGTGATTTGCAAAGTTAGAACAAACTAGATGCTATTAAATCTACATTTGAGCCTTGGCCTGTGTTGCAATTGCTCAAAGCAGATATCAAGCTCACTAGTCTTCGTATAGAACATATTCGACTGACTCATCTTGATTTGTTGTACGGGGATCCGCCTCTCCAATGCAATACTTGTAGCGTTTTACTTTTTATTCATAATATTTTAATTGTTTGCCCTTGTTTTAACCAACACTCCCTTACCTTTTTCAATAGCAAAACTTTTTTAAAAAAAAATCATCATTCTAACATCTTTGCATTTTTACACGCTATTAGAATTTTAAATTGTATATGATAGTTTTAAAATTCTTTCTTATTCTTTTTCCATTTTAGTAAGTTTACCATTACGTTTTATCTATTTTGAATGTTTATTCCTTTTCAGTGATTTAGAGTTTTCGCTTTTTTACTTGATTTTAATGTGCTCTACTTTACCTTTTCATCTGCTTTTAAAACCACGTGTTTAGCGCAGCATTTCTTTCTTTGAACCTTGTGTCACTAAATGGCACAAGGTCCTACATTTCCATAAAATGTTAACAAATAATTACTATTATTGTGGTTTAAAGGAATTTTTTAATTCATGAAACGTAATTTTATATATACTTACGCCCCTAACAAAATTTCAACTGTACGCTTTAATTAATTTCCTAAGTTATCGCTATAAATTGTCACAATAATTATGACAGAAAAGAAAACAGCATACAGTCAAATCTCGATCCATCGTGACGAAGCATTCGAAGAACAGTCTTAAAGATTGATACCTTTACTAGTAAGTATTAGTTAAAATATATTTTATTATTAATCCCTTTAGGAAAGCTGCAAAGGCTACTGCTTTACTATTTCCACTGCTGGGCATTCCACATCTGTTCTTCTGTATCAATCCAAAAGATAACGGGAACTTAGAAAACGCCTATATGATTGTAAATGCATTTATAAAATCATTTCAAGTACGTATTTATTTAAATCTTTTTAGTAATTTTAAATGTTGACGTGTTGAGTTATAAATATGAAGCATATAATCATCGACCTTGATAATTAAGATGGCTTTACGCAATTTATTGAAATAAAATTCGCCAGAAATTTTAAACACTATAACAAACCTCTGTGGTTTTTACTTTTCAAATTTTATAGTTTATTTTGCTACAAATTTAAATAATTCTGGTTAAAAACCGTGGACGTAAGAGGCTTTGAATATATTTCTCGACGCAGTTCTATGATTCGGTTCTTCTACAACTTAAGTAAAAACTTTCCATGTTTAAGTGACCAATTTTGATATACTGTCTTTAAAAACTTTTTGTCCGGTTCCGCTTTTGGGTTAAGGATGAAAAAACTTTTAAGCGACAAGAATTGAAGGATTTTAACCTTTTGGTGCCAGATGAACGAACTCCAAGATTGAACATTTTACGTTTTCATATCATCAATGTTTTTAATCAATTTACTAAGCCACAAACGTCACATCGCTCATGCTCATGGGCTGCAATAGCGGCACAACTCAAAAAATCAAATTTTGAGATAAGTGGGTTTTAAGTTTTTATTGCTAAGCAAAATGCATGAGAAATGCTTTGGTTTGCTTAAACAAAGATTACCTTCAAGTTGAATTATGAGTTGTGCTAGTATTACTACTGAAAGAATGTGTATTTTTCCTATTTACACCTGTTCTTAGTCCAAAACGCGTGTTTTTTTTAGTTTTGCCACTATTGCAGCCCATGAGCGACATATCATCTACCAGTTGACTTTTAATCACCATCGTGAACAATATAAAGATTACTAGGCTACATATGGATTTAAATTTCAGTATCGCGTTGAATCTGCAGTCGAGACTGATCATCATACCATAACTGAAAACCTTAATCCATATTCATCCGTTTTTTCTTCAGAATACCGTGCAATTATCTTAGCCCTGAGCACGTTTACTAATTAAAAGAGTTGTGCTGGTGCATTGAGTCAGAGTGTAAATAAACCTTATACCATTTTACCCCATATTTTAAACATTTACATTAAATTCACGAATGATAATTATGATATATTTATATCCTGGATCAATGGTCATCCTGTTGGAAATTCAGGAAATGAAAAGGCAGGGGAAATGTCGAAATCTACTCAGAACATTTCAAACCGATCAATGACATAAGCAGATATTCTAAATGGTATAAATTAGCTAAAACATAGGAGGCAACATGGACTAGAGAAATTAATAATAAACTGGTTCAAATTAAAACCATCAGTAGTTTCTTTTAAACCATTAAATATGCCTTGAAAATTACAAGTAACTTTAAATAGGACACACGCGTTTCATCCACAAACATTTATTATTTGATGAACCAACTTCCATATGTTCAAGTTGCCAAAAACCTTTAACAGTGAAACATATTTTGACACCATGTATTAAATACAAATAACTTAGACATGGGTACTCCAACCATAAATTTCCAACTTCACAGGTTTTAATTGGAGATGCTCTTCATTAAAATATTATATTTTATCTGAAGGTACATATCGTACCCTTGCCACAAAAGTGACGCAACTCAAAAATAATTATGTTTCAGTTAAATGCGCCAATAGGTTTTTAAAAGATTAGTCTATCTGTCAGATATAGTGTATTGAAGATTTCTATTCTTAAATCTGTTTAACTAAATTTACTTGAAATTCCAAAGGTTATACTCTAAAATACTGATGCTGATTTTCTCCTTTATTTGCTATCCTCGGAGAGTTAAATCTAGATCAACGGTTCTCAATTTTCTTCGGATTTAGAGTTAGAGTTTTTTTTTTTTTTGGTTTGAAACCGGTATAATAAAAAATTATTAGTAGATGGGATTATACTATTTCAAATTATTTTGAAAATACTACTAAATATTTTGAAAAAACTTAATTTTAAAAATGAAATATTTTAAATTATGAATTTGTTCTTGATGTTTTCATATGCTGAACATGAATAAAATAAGTTAAATTATGGTTTTTAAAATGAACTGTTGTAAACGTTGAGAAATAGTTATCAGAGAAACGCAATTCTTTATTCTTGAATTTGGTTATTTCATTTAAAATTGAAAAGCTCGAAGAGAAATACTTATGGAATTTTTTATTAACTCATATCCTTTTCATAATTTATTCAATATATTGTTTGTTTGTTTTTTAAAAAAATGCAACTTCTTTTTCATTTGAAATTACATAAACCATTTCATATAAACAATCGAAATATTAAATAAATTATGGATTATGTGTAGGCTATATATTGAATTATTATTGGATAAAAAAAAGCCTAGCTGCCATATGTTAATGTGGTTTTTTTTAGAGGCCGTTCTTTCCCTTTCCTTTTATTTCTACACAAAGGTTTTGAAAAGGGCACTTCTCGTAAAGAAAATATATACCGTTATTTGTTATATTTTATGTCTCTTTTTAAACAAAAAGAATAGATAAAGAAATTACTTATTCAGTTTTCTATTATTCAAATTTTCAACTGCTGAAACATTTTTTTACTGCTGAGCTTTAAACTGATGTTGCAAAAACAACAAAAGTTTCAAAATAATAGCTTAAATAAATCACACCAAGATGACAATTAATCATATTAACTATCTTAAAGACACCGGATACTTCTCCTTAATTTAAACCATACTTTATGTTAATTAAGTCCTCAGAGCGGTATAGCCGTGTCTTTTTTTTTCTCTTGAAGTAGAAACGAAAAACAATTAGTAACAACCAATGTTTTTCAAACCATACTGAAATAAATAACATGAAATACGTGAGATATTTGGGGGAAAAAACTGATCTCGGCGGAAAAAGCTTTTTGAAAACAATTATGTTTTAGAATTAATTCTTTTTCTCTACTTTAAAGGAAATTCATCCATTTTTCATTACAATCTGAGAAGAAAATAGTTCATTGCTATTTTCAGCTTCTATAATACTCAAAAAAAACCATGTCAACTGGAAAAAAAAAGTTGAAATTTCTCACTAATGTATTTAAATTTCTGCAAAAAAAAAATATCTGACAACTCCTATTATTGGGAAAGAGGAGGAGAAAAATTAGAGATGGTTTAAAATTCGCTTGAGCAAAATCACCTCATTACTCAACTTCTTTTCAATGCTCATTTAATGGAGTATTATTACCTGAGTCCATGACTGGAAGCTTTCAACTTGATCAATCTAGACATTCGAATACCCGAAATTGATTTGATTTCATCCACAAATTAAGCTATAATCTAATTTTCTTTGTGAAAATTAACACAAATCTGCACTTTATTTAAATCGATCAAGTGCAACAGTTTTCATAGTAATAATTTTTTTTTTTTTTGCATTAAAAAAAATATCCTTTTGAAATAGCACTATAAATCTTATTTCTCTTCTCTTTATGGTTGAATCCTAATTTAATTAGACTTTTTTTCATATCGTTTTTGTTGATTGTTGTAATTCGGCGAAGATTTTAAAGAGATGCAATTTTGCTCTTTTTTTATATACAATCAGTTGGCAAGCTAAGTAGCGTAATTTCAGATTAATTATGACAACTGTTTATTTATTTCGACTTATTATGCTACTTATTATACATAGATTGTTTTATTTATTTTAAAGAAAAAAAACTTCGATGACAAACAATTGCAATACATAAATTCTAGTTCGGGTCCAGGTTACTTAACGCCAAACTTATTACGTCAATCTATACGATATTAACTTTTTGATACACAATTTAAAATAAAAGCGTATTGCCGATGATTATAGAGAGATTACACGGTGGAAAGACAAGCAGGAAATAATTTTTTTTAACTCGGATATTTTTATGTATTCACATTCTGTTCTAATCCAGTATCCATTAATCCAGTTAATAAAGAAAGTAGCCGAGACTGACCTCTGTGTCACCCTACCTTTACCTGTGTCACTATAACTTATTGAAATAGTTCTAGTTAACATGCTTGATATCATTTTAACATTTTTAACACTGTATGCGTATAAGTTTTGTTAAGTACAGATCAAAAAATTGAAATTCAGTACAAAATATAGCTGTTGGGAGTTGCTGGTAAAGCTAATGAAAATTCTTTATAAATTATTTAATGTCATTTCGCTCATTTGGTGAAACAATGACGTAACTGCAAAATCAACCTAAATAGAGTTAGAGCCTTAAATAGAGTAATTATCAACAATGACGTAAAACAACAACAATGAAGACGTGAAACAATGACGTAACTGCAAAATCAACCTTATCATAGCTCATCTGGTGAAACAATGACGTAACTGATAATTACTCAATTTAGGTTGATTTTGCAGTTACGTCATTGTTTCACCAGATGAGCTATTTTTTTTTTTTATATATTTTTGTTGCGTAAAATTTTTTGTTGCATTTTTTATGAAGATTTTGTTTATTTCAAAAGTATGATTTCCATTTAAATTAATTAACTGTAATGTAATTAGGTTTTATATTCTATGTCTATTAAATTTCTTATTAATTACGTTACGGGTTTCTAATATTGTTCCATTTATTGATAAGAAGATTGTTTCAATTTTAAAAAGTTAGTGAACTTTTTTATATATTTACCATGTTTATTGGCAAAAAGTTTCTAGTATAATAGACATTAGGTAGCGATTAATACTTTTGAAACACACGGGTGCAGGTTCGTTTCCTGAAAGGTGTCCGTGAAAGACATACTAGAAGTGCCCACTCAAAAGTTGTAGAACACCACATTGAACTCCGATCGTTGCTTTTTGAATGACGAACACATAGATTACCGCTAGGTCATTTTTACTATGATTGCGGACCATCTCTCTCTATTTTAAATATTTAATAAAGAACTCCACCTAAAAGAGGGAGAGTTTGTAGGTCTGGACGAGTGAGACCCATGTACTTTTCGATAGATATTTGTTTGCATTTTTCTAAAGTAGGTTTAATGTTGTGCTATTCATTTCATTTTTTCTAGCTATTTTGCCAGTGTTAGTACGGTTTTTGGTCAACATTTTAATTATTTGAAACGTATGTTGGATGGGACTTAAACTTATCATCCTAATGTGTTCGTTTTTCAATGTACTATTGGTAAATTAAAATTTATATAATTGTGTGACTGTGGTTACAATTTTTATGCTATTTTATTCACTTTAATTATACCTGCTAGTTATCAATAGAAGTTCATTGAGAAACATTTGAGTATGTACCTTACCTTTTCATTTGTTTAAAAAAGTTTGTTTGAATCTTGTCCTTCTTTTGTCTTTGCGCCATTAAACTACTTCTTCTGAAAGGGTTAAAGGATTATTAAATGCAATGAAAAAGTGATCTAGGTAAGTAAATAGGACATAAATCAGACAATGCAAATGTTTCTCTTGAACCTAAACGTTTTAAAGTGCTATCATAAGACTCCAAGAAAACAAAACTGATAAACTCATAAAGTTTTTGATTCATAAGCGTGAGGTTAGACAGCAGTAAACGTAAAATTGATTTTTTTTTTATAAAAACAATTTTTCGATTATGACACCGCATCTAGCATATATTCGAGTTATTTTTAACCAACTCACGTCTGTAGAAGTTTCCGCTTTCTTTTTTTAGGATCAAAGAAATTGTGTAATTTGCTGTTATTTCATACCTATATCTAGTGGGGTCTGTGCAAAAACGTTTATAAATTAAAACTATTTTGTAATATTGAGCAAAAAACTTCATTTTCAAAATCAATTTTATTTTGTTACAGGGCTTATCAGTCTCTATTCTGTACTGCTTCATGAATGCTGATGTAAGTACATTTTTTATACATCATTTAAGTATAATTTTTAATACTGATTAAATATTCAAATACGTACATTCAAAAATACATAAAAATTGGACCGCAGTTTTAAACAAAAAAAGAACCCTTTCACACAGCTTTTTATTGATTTTTTACATGTAATTTAGGTGATGCCTAGATGCAGGCGTTCACTGTTGGCGTGGTAGACGGCAATTATTTCATTGCAGGCGATCGGGAGAAAGGACTCTTATATTCTTGTTTGAGATGTTGACTTTATTTGGCAATACTAACTAGTTCGTCTTATTATAAGATGTTATTTATAATCTTTCAAAAATTTAAATTAGATAGTTTGGGAGAAACGTTTGAAAAATGGTAATTCATCTTAGATTTAGCATAAAGCCATTGATATAAATTAAACTGCAGACGATTCTATTTTATCAAATATTTTAAAGATAGCACCAATGATGTTTGCTAGCTTATAGTTTTAATGAATTTTTAAAAAAAAAAGTTTATTGCACGTTCTTTAATATTTTTCTTCTTTTGGTCAGATAAACTCAATGATCAACGTCGTATCATAGGCGGATTACGTCACCAAATTAGTATTTCTAAAGTTGCATTGAACACGTGATAACTTTTTTTATAATTATGCCTCAAAAAATTGTTTCTAGAAAACTAATTTAAAATCAATATGTAATGAAAAAATAGGTTATTCATGATCTGAAAAGCAAAACAAATGGAGAATTAGTACTAATTCATTTATGACAAACGTAAAAATTTGCCACACTATTGACGCCAACGATGCTTACTTAATTTTGGTAATAGGCATTACTGTTATGAAACCAAATATAAATACAAAGTTACACAATTAGTATATTTTGTACCTGTTAAAACTATCAATATGTGCTGTGTAGTTTAAATGTAAATGCTGGGAATCGTTTTTTATTTTTACGATGTCTCGAAAGAGATAAATGGCGGGAAAAATTGCTTATCTAGATACATCATGGATTTTAAATTTATTTTCAGTATCTCTTCCAGATTCCATTTAGTAGAAACATTATGCACATTTCAGTTAGTTCTTTAAAGTCATCTCTAAGTAATTGTTCGTTTATTTCTGCTTCCAAAATGATCGGCATTTCTTTAATTTCTATCTTGTTTTTTTTTTCTTTTCATTTCTATTTTTATCGACAAAGATCGTGAAAAGTTGTAAATAATAACTTTTCTTCTTCACGTAATATACTTTTAAATACACTTATAATAGTTTTAATAAAATAAACTGGTTGATAAAGGCATTAAAAAAATTAAATTTAGTTTATTGTTTTAAATAGATAAGTGCACCTTTTGGGTGATCATTTATGAGTCAGAGTATATTATGAGGGTGTAGTAGCGGTTGGGTGATAACATGGATCCATTGCAATGGAAATTTGAAGTAAAAAATATCTAATCTAATAATTCTTATGTACAAATGAACTGTCTCCATTATTCTAATCATACAAAGAATACATGTAAATTTCATTCTCTCATGTGTAGCGGTGGCTAGGTGATAACATGGATCCATTACAATGGAAATTTGAAGTAAAAGATGGAAGAGTGTCTCCATTAGAATGAGTCGTACAAAGAATGCATTTAAATTTCATTACCTCAGTCAGAGTATATCATCAGGTGTAGCAGTAGCTGGATTGATTACAATAGAAATTTGAAGTAAAAGATGGAAGATGGTCTCCATTAGAATGAGTCAGGCACCATGATCAGATAATTAATTGAAATTTCTTAAGCGGGGTGTATTAAGAATCATTGTGGTACTCTGCAATGCTTATGCAAAAAGCAGGGTATAAAATGCTCAGAATCATGCACAAATTGTTGAGGAAATAAGCTGTCGTAATTCCATTAAAATGGACACCAACGATACTTAAAATAATAATATACTCATTTTGAGAAATGCCGATTTAATTGATTTTCTTACCTCAATTTAAAATTGCAAGGTATTAAGAAGTATTTTTCTTGACTGTTTTTTTGCTTTTTGGTCAGTTTTTATTTGTTTTTTTACTGCATTTGTATTCAAAATTTACAATTACAAATTTGATAAACACGTGGAAAGAAATTAATTTCACCTAGTATAGTTTAAAAATGCCTTGTTAGTATTATATTTCTTGTTGCAATTACTACTAAGCAATTGTATTCTGGTTTTCTGTCTTATGTTCTTTTTGCATCTAGTAATCCTTGCAATTTCATTTTATTTCAGGTTCAAACAGCACTAAAAAAAGCATTCATGCGCTTGCAGGCTCAACGGAATCCTAATCAGCGCTTTAAATGTCGCAGAGGACTTTCTCAAACTTCTGGTACTTACTTTTCAACTCATTCTGAAGCATCCAATACAGAAAGCAGTCGGAAAAAGAAACAGCCATATCGTACCATTCTGAAATTGCAAGAAACTACGAGCAGTCCCGAAGCGAAAAATAAACAAGAAGCATCAACTGAAATATTTTGAATAAATTACATCTATTTACAAGTTTCAAGCTGTTCATTATTATTACTTGGATTTTTCAATTTCGATTTTTTTTTTCATTGAACAATGAGTACCTGATTCAATTTTGTTTATGAGTCAGAAAATATTTTTTTTCTGCTTAGAGTCATTTTAAGAGTCATTATTTTGAACTTCAGACTAAATTTTTTTATCGACTTGAACTTTTTTTTTATGTTTAAGTCACAATGAAAAATGAGAACTGTGCAAGTTTGAGATTCTAAAAAAACTTAACTTCGCATGTAAAAAATATCAATGTTTGGAATCAATTCTTTAATAGTTGAGTGTAAATATGTTGTCAGTGGTTTATATAAAGCAAGAATTACAAGCTACACTTTCCGTTTCTTTTATATAAAAGTTTTTTTGCTATATCAGTAAGCATGATTATTTCAGTTTATTTTTTTGTAATGGTAAATTGCCTTCTTTAATAATTATACGCTATAATTTCTGATAGAGCTCTAATAAAAATATCCTAATTTTGGTTTGTTCACAAATGGAATTTATTACTCTAAAACTCCCCTTTTTTTGTTCCTCGTATGACAACTTATATTTGCCTACAAGAGGGTAAATGGTAAATTGATTTTTTTTACTATAATGCTTTTTTGAGATAGGCCTAACTATAAAGTTTCTGACTTCTCGAAAATTTCAACCTTCTTGTCTGAGAGCATTGATAGCTTAGTTAAGTGCTTTGTCATAGATCTTGTCCTAAAAATGAAATTTTATATGTATAAAAAAAGGAGGTATTGTTGCTTAACCAAGATTTTCATCTGATAGCTCCTAACACTGAAAAGTAACAATGCCCCAATGGAAACGATTGCATTTTATAACTTTCTTTAGATAAACCACTTCAAATATTTAGGTTTAACTTAAATTAACTTTTAACGAAATTACTACAACAGAGTTAAAATATTTTAAGTATTTCAAACTTGCACAAACTTAAATTAACTTTTAACGAAACGACTACAACAGAGTTAAAATATTTTAAGTATTTCAAACTTGCACAATAGTTATTTTGCATAACCTACTTTAACACTTTATAACGTTTTTTAAAAATATTTTTGGTATTGAGATTGATTTATAAAAGATAATTTATTGTTAAGACCAATTTTTTCTTTCTAATGCGTAAGTGGGTGCTATTTTCTAATTTTTTTCTATATTAGAGAACTGGCCATAAACTTGATTCTGTGCTTATAAATAAGCAAATTTTTAAATTTTGTGTTTATAACTACAAATAAGTTCGTTAAAAAACGATCAAATGACCATAAGCATAACTAACAGAAGATTGCTCCCCAGTGTTGCCTCACCCCCCCCCCAAGAACAGCTACTCCCCAATGATTGTTCTTAACCCCACGCTAATCTTTACAGTTACCCACATTTAAGTAAACAAAGCTCTTCATTGGCGTTTTTTTTTGTGTGTGTGTGTGTGTGTGGATATTCTGTAGTTATTAGCGGATGACTTCCCATCGACATTTAAAAATTAATGAAGTTGAAATGTACAACCCTCCGCTTTATAATTGATTAGCATAGAAAAATGCAACTATCAAAATAATACTTTTTTCTCTGATTTTCATAATAATGGCTTAGACGGTTTGATCCGAAAATTTTTATTGAAGTAGTATATCGGTAAAACTAACGGGGTTTGAATGAAGCATATAATTCCATGTTTAATTGTAGTTAATAGAAGAAAAAAAAGTTTTTTTTTCTTTTGACTTCCTATTGACTAAAAAGAAAGTCTTAAAATTAATGTATTTGAAAACAAATCCCGAAGTGATACAAGAAATTCAAATACGAATTCTGAACATTTTCAGAATTAAATGATTCGAAAGCTGAGAATACTCATAAATTAAAATACGTGAAAGGAGCAAATCTATTACTAATATTTCGAAATAAAGGTACGAGTAATGAGTGGATAAGAAAAGTAAGATTTATAAAATCGGGTAAAACTGTGGGATAAGCAGATACACACATTCTATTATCAGATATTATATACAATCTGAGACTGGAACTATAACTTCGAAAAATATTAGATGTTGTTGGTTTAGGGATGTTAAAAATAATAGCACTAAGAATAATATTTATTAAGAAAATTTAGATGTTGAGGCAAGTTAAAATGATTTTATGAGTGTAATTCGAAATAACTCGAGTCAATAGCTACCTTAAGGTAAAAAAAAATAGTTAAAACCAATGATGATTATTTAAGTATCTTTAGAATCGTGAACTGTATTCAGAGAAATCGAAAAACCTAAAAATTCAGTGCTTCAGGATCCAGATGAGTATTTAACGTAAAAAATAAACAAAAAATCGCTCGCTTCAGAACAGATTTGCCACCGAAGGATTTTGCAAAAATTCGGTGAAGATTTCCTAAATACACTGGTTATCATAAATTAAGGAAAAATCACAAAAATAGCGATAACTCTTTCAAAAGTAAGCCAAACCGTGCAAAATTTGCATATGTTGTCCACTAAGAGTAGCTGAGTAAAATTGCAATATGCAAATTAGTGGCGCTGCACTCGGCTTACGTCATCTGCCTGGAGCATAAAAGTCNTCAATTTTGGATACAACCAGAAGTTGCAAGGAGTCAGGTCTGGAGAGTAGAGAGGTTGGCAAGCGGTTGTAATTCCATGTTTGGATAAGAAAGTGTGCATCAATTGGGATGAATGTGCAGAGGCGTGCTTTTTGTTCCGACGACAACAACTTGGGTACGAATTTTGCAGCCACTCGGTTCATGTTCAAATCTTCACGCAAAATTGTATGTGCAGAATCTTTACTCACTCCAACCTCTTCTGCAATCTCCCACACTGTCAAACGACGATCTGCCATCACCAAATTTCGCAACCTCTCAACATTAACTGCACTCTGAGCAGTTAGAGGCCTGCCACAACGTTGCTCACTCTCCGCTGATGTGCGGCCATCTTTGAATCGGTTGAACCACTTCTTAATTTGTGTTACACCCATCGCTTCTTCTCCAAACACCTGCTGAATCTTACGAATTGTTTGGCTTTGAGAATCACCTAGCTTTTGACAGAATTTGATGCAGTATCTTTGCTCAATTCGTTCAGTCATCTTGCGAGAAAACTAAATCCGACGAACACTACGAACAGCACCTTACTTGGCGACCACCAGCCAGCGAGTTGCAGAAGCGAACACGGTGAAAAAATTCAGTCATGTGCATTAAGGTTTCTCCTTCCACTGTGCACTAAGGCGCCGCCTTAGAGTCACTACTTTGCGCAGGAAAAATTAAGGTCGGATACTTCTTAGACAGGCCTCGTACAATCTGAGACTGGAACTATAACTTCAAAAAATATTAGATGTTGTTGGTTTAGGGATGTTAAAAATAATAGCACTGAGAATAATATTTATGAAGAAAATTTAGATGTTGAGGCAAGTTAAATTGATTTTATGAATGTAATTTGAAACAACTTCGAAGAGAGTCAATAGCTACCTTTAGGTTAAAAAAAAAATAGTTAAAAGCATGATGATTATTTAAGTATTTTTAGAATCGTGAACTTTATTCAGAGAAATCGAAAAACCTAAAAATTCAGTGTTTCAGGATCCAGATGAGTATTTAACGTAAAAAATAAACAAAAAATCGCTCGCTTCAGAACAGATTTGCCACCGAAGGATTTTGCAAAAATTCAGTGAAGATTTCCTAAATATTTATTTATGAACTCCCAGTCTGCGTTGTAGATCTTCCAAAAGATGACAACAGTAAGGAAATATATATTATTAGATATTTTAACATAATGAAAATACCAATTGAATACATAAGATCATAAAAACCGGCACAGTGCCATCGCTGACAAAACTTATTTCATATTCAAACCAACTGCAGACACTCTAAACTTTGTGTAAAGTATGCGGGCCTAAATATGTACACCTCATGCTCACCTAAATCCTGCAACTGCAATGGCAATCATGCTAAAAATTTCACTGGATCTGAAAAGTATCTTAGCATTATTGGCAATCGAAATGAGCTACAGGTGGCGTAGAGCAGAACTCTCTACCTGTGGTAACACTTCGCATGCTTTCACCATTAGCGTGTGGAGAGTCATAGGAGAAGGAAGTACGTTAGTTTCTGCCTTGATTCTCAAATTGATTAAAAACTTTTAATTTAGGAAACTCTTTGGCACTGAAGAATACTTTGAACATAGTTCTGGAAGAAAACGTCGTGGAAATTTTAAAAAATATTTTTCACGAGTGAATAATTCAAGCGTTGCGCGATTACGAATTGGAAAAAAAAATGAAAAGCAAAAACTACAAAGGAATTTTTTTGACTTTAAAAGGGAACCCAGACAACAACCTTCGGAAAATCCCTGGAGCCATGCAAATGTACTCAAAAATAACAATACCACGAAGGATGACTTTCGCTTACTTAGCCTACTCAAATAAGCAATTGATACCTCTAATAACCTTCAAAACCTTATTCCATTGTCACCTGCCAATACCAGATGAGCACTCATTCTTCTGAGATAAATGATGAAACAAAAAATAAATGAATAATGAACAGCAAATTATCACCTACCTCCCTAACTATAGTTCTGAGGAACGTAAATTTGCTCACCTCTAAAATGGCAGAATTCATGGACTTTATTGCAAGATAATCGCCTGTCGTGGTTGCTGTAACTGAAACTCACTCCAAGCCTTATACTATGTATGTAGGATACCAAATTACAATTCATACCGGTGCGATTGCGTTACACACAGAGAGGGTTGCATTGCAATTTATGTTTGCAATAAATATAAATTTTCCATCTATAATCTCAAAACTGTTGAAAACATTGATTAGACTTCTATAATCGTACAACTGGGTGAAATAAATATTAAAATCATTGCAATCTGCAACCCCCTCCCCAAATAATGATCTAAAATTTAACATTTTTGAAACTACCTTGAATCAAATATAGACACCATCGTTTTATGTGACTGTACGATAATAATAAAATTCAGGGCTGCACAAACGATATTAAACAAGGTCTTAAGCTTTACACTTTGATCAAGAACTTCGGACTCAATAGTGACCACATCCCCGTCCTAATCACCACCTAATCAAAGAATGATGAAAAAACCACTATAAAAACAGACTGGCTCCTGTATCACAACACTCTAAGTTAGAAACACAGACAAACTTTAAACATCACTGCAATCTTCGAAATCGATCAAGTCATTGAGATCCTAACTAATAACCTAAATGATACACTCAAGAAAGCCACAGATGAAATAACGATTTTGAGCAATCTCAAACCACCAAGACATATTGGAGAGATCATCAAGCGCGAAATCAATAGACTTAACAGAGGCATCATAATTCTATGTCATAGTCATGGAATGAGTTGTGTGGAAGGAAAAATTTTCTAGTCTAAATCGAGATGACAATTCTATTTAGAAAAAGACAAGAGCCCTTGAAAGGGTATTGCAAATCAACCTGTCTGTCTCTAACCAGAATGCATAAACTGAAAAAAACAAAGTGACTATCTTAGTTAACACCAAACAAAAACTGTTCTCTTTACTGTATCGACTTGTGCTATAAATGAAAAATATGTCAACGGCGCTTTTCGTGAAATTAATGTCACACCAGCATAAGAGAGCACTATGAATAGGACAAATAATGATGGAAACGTAGGTATCATTAAAAAAAACCTAAAGTCCCCAGGGCATGACAAATCACCAACGAGATGATGAAAATTATGCCTTTAAATATTATTCTATTACTTAAAAACATCTTCAATGCCTTCCTGGAAAACTGCTATTTCCCCAAGATTTGGAAAAAGTCAGACATCATCATGCTACACAAGCCAGAAAAAAACACTTTGGATCCTAATAACTACAGGCCAATTAGTCATCTTCTAAGCTTATATCTTTTGGGAAGTAAGTTCATAGTGAAAATAAATGGAACCTTCTCAGACTACAGGCCATTTAATTCAGGTGTTCTACAAGGCTCAATCCTGGGCTCACTATATATTCTACATACAGCCGACTTCCCAGTAAACAATGATTGCATGAACGAATTACTTGTATTATATGCTAATGGCACTGCCACCGGTACCAAGCTCTAAACAAGCTGTGAAATTACTGCAAAATAAAATCCAAGAGCATAGTGAAGCAAATGGAGCACGAAGCTCCATCCGGGTGCAAAAGTCAATTACTCATAATCAATAATAAATCTTAAGCTCAAAGTATTCCAAATATCACACTTTTTGATGTTGATATAAAACCTACAATGATGTCAAATATCTGAGAGTAATAATTTCAAAAAATCTCAACTAGAGCAAACATATTAACGAGATTACAAAAAAGCCAAGGGGCATTTTTTTGTTTATTTAAAATAATCTATTTTATATAAAAACTCCAAATTTGATCTGGCTAGTAAGAGAATCATCTACCTAGGTTATCAGGCCGATTATAATATATTCCTGCCCAGCTACAACACTCAGGGACAACTTAAAAATAAGCTATCAAAGACCGAAGGCCAGATACTCAGAATGATGGTTGTAGTTCCTAGGGCAATTAGTAGCAGACTACTCCGAAATAGGACTGGGCGATATTAGAAATTATGTATCGTGATGCATCGTCAGTTTTGCATCGCGATATAGTATTTTTGAATTTCATTTACTTGTAAGGCACAGAAAGTCAGATTTCTATCAAAACTTCATACTCAGATTGATTTAAATCAATTTATAAATTGCGATATGTTTTGCTTAAGAAAGATATTAAATAAATTGACTACAATGTACAAATCTTACTTAAAATATTTATTGAAATGTTTGTTTAGAAATTCATAATACGCGTAAAACAAAGTGTTAAAAACTTTTTTTAAAGCGTTTTTTCCAAATTAATATTTTCTTGCACTATTATGCATAAATAATTACATAATTATTAAGTTCGATCGTAATGTTCAA